TATTGGTGGCGCGGGGGGGGGGGGGGGGGGGATTCCTTTGTAGGTTTCCCCTCGAGACGGGAATATCTTCGGGGAATAAACTATGGTAGGGTTTCTAAATGCTTCCTAAGTCCCTATATATAGATTTAGGAATCCTAACTAGAATCTGAATGGTAAAGGTCCACTTTTCATATTCCTTATAGAATTAAGGACTTGGTTAATTGTAAGTGTAAAATAAAATTACACTATTGGCTATTTTATTGGTATTACTAAGTTTAAAATAAATTAGTGTTATTTGTTTTTTAAATCTTTATGGACCATGTGAGTATGAATTTAGTGGTCAGAATGCTTGGTATTATTAAATCCACAAAGAAGCTTTCAATTTATAAAATGAATGGTTGAGGCTTGTTCGAACAGTGAATAGCTAAGGGGAAGGCTACTTTGGTGGATCAAGACAAACAAGGTTGTTGAAAGGACTATAAAAGAACATTGTCTGAAGGAAGCTATTGCCGATTACTTGAGAATTATACCTTGTGAAAGCTCTTCTGATTTTACAAAGCAATTTCTATTTAAATTGTAATTTCTGATTTAATTTGCAAGAGCATTTATATTGTACTGCATGATCAGTACGTGGTACTGCTGAAGCAACTAGTGAAGATTGTTCGGGTGTACGTGTGTCAGTCCTGGATAGGTGTTAGAAAGAGTGGTAGTGGTAAAGGCTGGAGGCCGTATTCAGTTACCTCTTGTAATACTCCTTTGGTGAACATCTATAGTGGATTGGGCAGACGTGGGTTACCCCGCAGACGTAAGAGAAGGAGCTCCGAACTGCGTAACAATTTCCTTGTGTTTTTATTTTTATGCTTTCTGCAGTTATTTTTAATACTTGCTTATATGAGTTTAATTAATTAACTAAATCGGTGCATAATTCAATTAAAAGATAAAAACACTTAATTTTCTTTTATTTCAAGTATCACGGTACAATTTCAATTGGTATCAGAGCCTGTAGACTTAATCTATTAGTCTTTCGATCTGGCGAATCCTGCATCTTGAATTTATCTCTTCAGCGGCTCTTTTTATTTATCAGTTTATTGTTTATTTGTTTGATCTCACGGGGTATTGAGTATTGCAGAATGGATCAAATTAAAGCCCTTCCCCAGTTGACCGGCGACAACTACGCATATTGGAAGGCTCGCACCCGTACGCATCTAAAAGCACAGGGTGAAGCTGTATGGCGGTCTGTGGTGTCAGGATGGACACATCCCACTAAAGCCAGTTCCAGCGCTGATGGAACAGAAGTCACTAAACCAGAAACTGAGTGGACTCAAACAGAAATAACCAATGCAGGAAACAATGATAAAGCCTTAGACACAATTTATTCTCTTATGCATGAAAGCCAGTTTTCAATTGTTGCAGGTATTCCTTCAGCTAAAGGGGCTTGGGAGGCTCTTGAGTCTACATATGAAGGAACTACCTTGGTTAAACAGTCAAAGCTGCAACTGGTTCAATCAGAATTCGAAGAACTACGCATGAACGAGGATGAGACAGTCATCGACTTTCATACACGCATTCAGGAACTGGCAAATCGCGCAATGGTCCTTGGTGAACCATTCTCGCAGGAAAAACATGTTAAAAAGATACTGAGATCTTTACCGCCCAGGTTCCGAATGAAAGTCACAGCCATCCAAAAGCATGATGGCTGGGAGAAAAAATCTGTTACTCAGCTAATGGGAAATCTTAAAACATATGAAATGGAGATTTTAACTGATCATACGAAAAAACAAAAAAATATTGCTTTCGCCGCTGAAGAAAATAATGTAGTACCCAATATAGATGAATCTAGTGATGATACAGTTATGTTCTTAACTAAACAGTTTTCCAAAATTTTGAAACAGGTGTCCAAGAACACGCGCAACAGAAATTCACAAAAGGGAGCAACGTCATTCAAAATTGCACCTAAGACACGGACGTCAAACGCCAAACAGTCTGTCTCACGTCCAGGACAGTCCAAAGAAAGGTCCAACAACAAAGACATCAAATGTTATGAATGCGACGGATTTGGGCATGTGCAAGCTGAATGCGCCACCTATCTTCGACGCAAAAAATCTATGTCAGCCATTACCTGGAGCGATGACGAGCCTGACATTGAACCAACCGGGTCAGATGTTGAAGAAATCTCGGGTAATTTTGTTGCATTCACGGCACGATTTACTGACAGTTTAGATCCTGTTGAAGACTCAGAAGGTGGTGACTACGTCTCTGCAGAAGATGTGGAACAAAATGCCTTATCTTTTGAAGCTGAATTTAATATGTTGTATCCCAAATGGGAAGCATTAAGAAAAATGAACTGTAAACTAGCTAGTGAAATAGAGATTGTAACGAATGCGAATAAAGTATATCAAAATCAAGTAGCTGATAGGAATGTTTTGCTTAAAGAAGCAGCAGGTCGAGAAGAAAAGCTACAAAATGAGGTACATACCAGAAATGTACTTCTTAAGGAAGCAGCTGACCGAGAAGCAAAACTCCAACAAGAAGTTCAAAATTTGAAACAAGAGCTTAGCACCTACAAACGACAAATCCAAATGATGGATACCACTTCAACACTAGATGAGATTCTTGATTCCGGCAGGAAAACATCTGCAAAATTTGGTTTGGGCTTCACCGGCAGTAACTCCAAAGATAAGACGGTATTTGTCAAAGCATCTGGACCTGATCCAGACGACATCCCAGAATGCAGCACCGTGAAGTGCTCCTATGGTAAAGTAAACTTAAACAAAATGCATTATAAGCTATATAATCCCGTTTGTCACTATTGCAGGCTACGCGGACATACCAGACCTGAATGCTACTATTTCTACAAGGATCAAAGGATTGAGAAGTTTAGGCACAAGAATATTCAACCGTTCACAAAACAGATTTGGGTTAAAAAAGCTGATTATATATCTTTTGTTTCATTTCATACTAAAAGTGCAGGACGAGAAGAAAAATGGTATTTTGACAGCGGGTGTTCCCGGCACATGACAGGGAATGTAAAATTCCTGAACAACGTCAACACCAGTAACGGGGAAGTTACTTTTGGTGACGGTGTCAAAGGTCAAGTAACAGGCGTAGGCACTTTAAATGTAGCTGGTCTGCCAAAACTAGACAAAGTGTTACTTGTCCGTGGGCTCCACGCTAATCTCATTAGCATAAGTCAATTGTGCGACCAGAACTGGAACCTGTGCTTCACTAAAGATAGCTGCAGCGTGATGGACAACACAAATCAGTGTGTCATGGAAGGTAAACGATCAATAGATAATTGTTATATTCTAACCAATAATGTGTTGTGTTGCAGGTCCAGCATGAATGAAGCTGAGCTATGGCATCAAAAAATAGGCCAGCTTAGTTATAGACTTCTCGATAAACGTGTAAAAATAGAAGGTGTTCGTGGACTACCGAAGATGAAAGTAGAGTCAACTATATGTGGTGCCTGCCAAGCTGGGAAACAAATCAGATCAGCTCACCGAGTGCTCAACGCCAAAGGACTACCTCAAAAACTCTGGGCAGAAGCTGTAAACACTGCGTGTCACATCATTAACAGAGTTTATCAGCGTCCGGGTACAATACAAACTCCGTACGAGCTTTGGAAAGACAAATCCAGGTTTGAACTACATCGTACAGCCCTTGGAGTTTGTACGATTAATGTCTAAATTCTCCCGCAGGTATTTTGTTTTAATTTATTTTTGTCGTTACTTTTTATTTGGACTAACTGATTAATTGTTTTTTTTTGCGTGTTTTGTTACCAAGGGAAAAGGATATGAGCTTATTTAAAATTCATTTTTCTGGACTTATTTATACATATATGGTTTTCTAATCCTTTATGGGGTAATTTATTAATTCTTTCGGTTGTTCTTGTAGAAGACTAATTCTAGTCAAACTCCTTTAATCTCTCCTTTTTCCACTCATCTACAACCTATTAATCATGATATCTATCCTAGCCATCACTCTCACGCCTTTTCAAGCCACATCACATCATTACCATTAAGCCTTGTCTCTCTCTTGTCTTTCTCTCTACACCGAGATCGTCACCACTATCTTCCTCTCTTCACCTTCCACCATTGTTACTCTTCTCAAGTTACACCCATGGAAAATCCGTTTCTCACCTACGTGACTAGATCCGAGAGAGCCAATCTGTTTAGAAAAATTATTGATGCCGAGTCTCCATTATCTCCTGAAGCTACGGATAAAACTCTTGCCACAATCAAATTTGATGGGTTTCTACTGGAAGGACTCACAGACAAAGAAAAAAGTCAAATACTTGCTTTAGCTCGCCACATCTCCGCCACACCATGGCCGTTCTCGCCTGTGTCAGCCGCTGTCCCGGATCCCTCTCCTCCTGTTCCAGCGTCTCTTGCCTCTCCTCCGCCAGTGGTACTTCCTTCTCATTCTTCACCTTTAAACACTTCTAGAAAAATTGATTTTGATGTATCTTTGCCTGATCAATTTGTGCCTCCCATATCCCATGCTGTTTTTGATGTTTAAAATCTGCCTGTACCTGGTGATCCCTATGACCCATTGACTCACAATTTACCTAGGGAAAATGTTGATTTAGTTGCTCTTTCTGACTTAGTAAAATCCTTACCATCTGCATTTGCTATTCGAGAAGTTGCTCAACATGTGTCTGTTCCATCTGTAACTTGTTCGGCCTTTTCTATTCCTATTACTGTCGCTGCGTCAGACTGTCACTCTGATCCTTTATCTATTCCAGTTTCATCTACTCAAGAAACTGTTCCAGTAATCTCTGTGCCTCTAGCTAAATCTTCTCGAAAGGGAAAAGAGAAAATCTATGTTTCAGGTACTGCAGAAAAGAGAGGATTGTCTCAATTGGAAGATGTTGAAACACAAATTGACAGGAAACTTCAACGCCGGGGATCCACACTGCCACCCCGAACCACTAGGTCACGGGCTCAAGCTGACTCACCTGTTGTGCCTACACCATCCGGCTCCAAATCGAAGGGATCAAGCATGGTTTACAAGCCTCATCTTTTGTCTCTCGACTTACTTGCAATATGGAAGACTCATGTCAATCGGGTTTTTATTGTTGAAAAATCCATTAATGAAGAAGATTTGACGACCAAGTGCAATATTATTCCACTGCTGCGTGATCAACATTTGCTAGCCTCTTTGTGACACATTGGTCCCTACTCCACCTGGCTGACTGCCGAATTTTACACGAATTTGACTTTGGACACATTCACTGAAGGATCGGCTCGATTTCATCAAGTCTTCATTCGTGGTACTTGGTATCCATTTGGGCCTTCAGAGATCAATGCGTATTTGGGCACTCCAAATCATCCTGTTTCTCCGGATCCTAGCCTTCACTTGATGGCCGCAGCTCTCACGCATAATAAGGAAGTTTCATGGCCATGTGATGGAATTTCAAGCTTAAAGCTCACGACAGTTTACTCCGTGCTTCTCCGACTTGCTTCAGCCAATTGGGTCCCGGCTGGCCGACGCCATCTTGTTCCAGAACACCTCGCTGGACTACTCTACAAAATCAGGAACCGTCTACCATTCAATTTGGGAATGGTCATATTTTCTCACCTTATGTCTTTTTTGCAGAAAAAAGAAGCAAAAATCCATCTTCCTTTCCCGTGCTTGATTTATGGAGTCCTTCAAGACCACGGATTCAAACCCTACAAGGAAGAAGTGATCACAACTCTTGACAATGCGTATATCTTTGATGACCGCCTCACACAGAAGGGCCATTATGATGACCGAGCTTCACTTGATCAGCTACCTGCCATTCCACTTCCAGCCCCACTGGTTTCTGCCCCTGCTTCATCGACTGACACTGCGTCAGCATCTCGTCCAAGCTCAAGAAGGGTTCCCAAAGAACCCCCAACACTGGTTGATCGTCGGCAGATTGTGCTCACCCTTGAGGCCTCTATTACACAAATTCAGCAGTCAGTTGCTTCTCAACAATCAACCATCTCGGGTCTTGCCAATCTTCGTGATGCACAACTCCAAGAAATTGCTCGCATGGAGGCCATTCACGCTCAGATTTTAGCTGACGCTAGGACTGCTGCCACTGACTCTGAAGATGAAGAAGATGATTCTGACTCGGGCACCCCGTCTGCACGGTAACTCTAATCCACTATTTTGATGTTCACCTACCTTTGTCATTTATTTGGCAAAAGGGGGAGTTAGGAGTAAGGGGGAGTATTACGGTTGTTAATTTTTGGAAATACTTTGAAGTGTTCTATTTTGTGGATTTGGAAGACTACTGCACTGGTGGATGATTTCAGTTTGGTATTAGTTATGTTTAATATTGGTTATGTTTGGAAGTGTTCCTACTAGCATGAATGGAAATAATGGACTCATATTAGTTAGGGGGAGTAATAGTAGTGATGGTACTCCTAACTAACAGTATGGATAATTTTGGTATGGTATCTCACATGCACAAGTGAATCAAGGTTGATATGGTATGATATGATTTAAATGATTGTGTGTGTGATTCAAGTTTTGAAGATTTCCATTAGGTTCTCTACTCACAAGTGGTCCAAAAGATTTCAATTTGTTAATACTTTGTTTTTAATCTTCTATGTCATGTTAAGTACCTATACTAAGGGCTATAAATAAAATGTAAATTAATTCTTGCCCAAAGTATTTGATACTCAAGTTTTTCTAAATAAAATGCCAAAGGGGGAGATTGTAAGTGTAAAATAAAATTACACTATTGGCTATTTTATTGGTATTACTAAGTTTAAAATAAATTAGTGTTATTTGTTTTTTTAAATCTTTATGGACCATGTGAGTATGAATTTAGTGGTCAGAATGCTTGGTATTATTAAATCCACAAAGAAGCTTTCAATTTATAAAATGAATGGTTGAGGCTTGTTCGAACAATGAATAGCTAAGGGGAAGGCTACTTTGGTGGATCAAGACAAACAAGGTTGTTGAAAGGACTATAAAAGCACATTGTCTGAAGGAAGCTATTGCCGATTACTTGAGAATTATACCTTGTGAAAGCTCTCCTGATTTTACAAAGCAATTTCTATTTAAATTGTAATTTCTGATTTAATTTGCAAGAGCATTTATATTGTACTGCATGATCAGTACGTGGTACTGCTGAAGCAACTAGTGAAGATTGTTCGGGTGTACGTGTGTCAGTCCTGGATAGGTGTTAGAAAGAGTGGTAGTGGTAAAGGCTGGAGGCCGTATTCAGTTACCTCTTGTAATACTCCTTTGGTGAACATCTATAGTGGATTGGGCAGACGTGGGTTGCCCCGCAGACGTAGGAGAAGGAGCTCCGAACTGCGTAACAATTTCCTTGTGTTTTTATTTTTATGCTTTCTGCAGTTATTTTTAATACTTGCTTATATGAGTTTAATTAATTAACTAAATCGGTGCATAATTCAATTAAAAGATAAAAACACTTAATTTTCTTTTATTTCAAGTATCACGGTACAATTTCATTAATGATAAGGGTCCATGGTCCATCGTGGACCACATTAATTAATTAATGGGGATTCTAGTCTAATTAAATCTATTTTTAATTATATGGTAACGGAATTAATTATATAATTAATCCGGATACGGAGGCCGTAACACGGGGTGTTACAATGAGATTGCTTATTAAGTTATATGATAACATGAGATTGCGTATTGAGTATATGATAACATGAGATTGCTTATTGAGTTATATGATAGCATGAGATTGCTTATTGAGTTATATGATAGCATGAGATTGCTTATTGAGTATATAATAGCATGAGACTGCTTATTGAGTTATGTGATAGCATGAGATTGCTATTTGAGATATATGCTGATATGAGATGGTTGTTAAGATATATGTTAGATTGAGATTGCTTGTAAAGATTAAGTATATTATTAACCATCAACTTGAATATGATTAGAGAATATTGCCATGATAAGATATGTATGTGAAAGCATGAGATCGTTGATAAACTAAATAATTGAGAAAGTATACCTATTTGATAATTAGGTTGCAATCATATAGATATCCTGTAGAGCATGTTTAATTGTTGATTAAGTGATCGAGAATACTTGATCTAAGTGTGTGAAACAAATGTTTTCCAAAAGTATATACGATAGTATTTTACATGGTTGAGTGGCCTTATACTTAGCTTCGTGCTAACGAGTCCATGATATAATGACTGCTGGATTATTGATTATATAACACTACATTCAGTTAGTGTACTCATACGGCTTAGTAGACACCTATACACCATCTGTGGTTCTGAGTCTTGTAACACAACAGGAAGATCAACTGTGGCCGGAGATCAACAGGATTACCGACTCCGCTTATACAAGGTCAGGTTTCTAGTATAATTCAGTATAGTTAAATTTTTTATATCTAACATTTCTTAGTATAAAATTCCACCCTTGCACTTTGTGAATGACTTTGGGTCATTTTCCTAAAGCAATGATCTTCCTCTTCTTTTATTCTCTCTCTCTCTCTCTCTCACGGCAGTAGCAGAAAACAAAGGTTGAAGGCTATTTTCAATGACCAGTACAAAATCCCATTACCTAATAAAGAGGAAAGAGTCTACCCTTTTTGAAATATCATTTCTTTCATCTTCTTTAATTTTCTCAATGCATGCTCATCCTTAGCCCATTTTTTTTTATTAATCTTAATCTTGTTTATCAAACACAAAACAAACTTATTCAGCTATGTCAAAATGAAGATTAAATTCGGAAATGTTGGCTTAGGATAATAAATCTGAATACAACGTGCCATTACAAAATTAAAGAACAAATGAAATAATTAAATAAAAAAAGAAAACTAAAATAAAGTTTGAAAGCAAAATAGAAGATAGAAAGCGCAGAAGGAAATGACCGGAAGGTCTTGGTTGAAATGTCATCGATCTAACCAATGAATTGAAAGTTGAGAATTGATTAGCTTATCTGATATAGAATAGTAAAAGATAGAAGATGAAAGTCACAAATAATGTTGTTGTCAAAAGTCATTGGTGGTGGGACGACGTGATCATCCATTCCCTGTTCAGCAGCCAGAAAGTCATCAAATTAATAAAATTGCTCGCGACGTTGATTAGGTTCAGTGGAAGAAAGATGCAAGTTGCAAGATGTGAATTGGTCCAAGAAATCCTGTCATTTCACATTTTGGTTGGCCATAGATGAACTTTAGCCAGGGAAAGTCACAAATATTGCTGTCAAAAGTCAAGTCTTCACCAGTAACTCTTAATAAACACGGCATACTTTGGCAAAGTAAATAACATGTGATCTAGACAAAATTGACAATACAGACTCAAGCCCTCCTACGGCATTTCAGATTTTTATTTATTTTTTGTCATTTTGTGTGGAAGATATTAAAAATGATTATTTATGATTTGACGTTTTCAGGAAATTTCTGAGAGAATTAATTACCGAAATGGTCCCTTGACTATAGTAAAATTATCAATTTGGTCATTGACTATTTTTTTGACTAATTAAGTCCCTCAACTTTAAAAATCTTAACCAATTTAGTCCTCCATTTGTTTGACCGTTAGTAAACCGTTAACTTGGGACCAAATTGATAATTTCCTACAGTCAAGGGACCATTTTGGTAATTAAATTTAAGGGTGGACAATTCAGTTCAGTTTTCTCAAACCGAACCGTAACAAACTAGTTAGATTCGGTAATATACCTAACAACTGAATGGTAATAGATTCTTGTATACCGAACGGTTCGGTAAAAATTCGAACCGAACTAAATTGTTCGATAAAAAATGAACCAAACCGAATACCGTTTGAACTTTGGATTGCTATTTTGTTATATATTAGACTTTGGATATGGACTATGTAAACACCATAACACATAATATAGAACTTTTGATAACAAATCATAAAGAAATCAAATAAAACATTTACGAGAGTTACCCGTGAGAATATGAGTTGAACGGCAGAGCAAGCAGCAAGGGACTTATATTTACTTTTTATTTATTTATTTATTTATTTATTTACTATTATTATTATTATATTTAAAAAAAATCAAACGGTATTCGATTCAGTTCAATTTTGAATTGAATAATTCGGATCGGTTTTTTATCGAACGAAAGAATCCAATACTGTTCGGTTGTTCGGTATATTACCGAACCAAACTAGTTCGGTTCGGTTCAAGAAAACTAAACCGAATTTCCCACCCGTAAAGTTAATTACCAAAATGGTCCCTTGACTATAGCGAAATTACCAATTTGGTCCCAAGTTAACGGTTGAGTAACGGTCAAACAAACGGAGGACCAAATTGGTTAAGATTTTTAAAGTTGAGGAACTTAATTGGTTAAATAAAATAGTCAAGAACCAAATTGGTAATTTCGCTATAGTCAAGGGACTATTTCGGTAATTAACTCTTTTTGAAAGATAATAGAAAATATTTGGTTTAAATATATAATTAGTCCATATAGCAAGTTACTACATACTATGTGAACACAGTTTTTGGCACAAGTCCATGTACTTATTTACTGTTAAATGTTCAAATAAATAATTCATATATTTGGTTTAATTGTTACCATAATTATATTTAGTAATTTATTATATCTAAAATTCTTAGTTTAATAATATTAAACATATCATAATTATTACTCAAATTATCAATTATATTTTAAAATAATTTAAATTCTACAACAATGAATTAAAAAAAAAATTATTTACAACGGAGTATTATTTTTAAAAATATTTTAATATAATCAAGATTTTAACATTGACTATTATTATTAAACATATATTTTTGCACATTGCACGTATAAAATACTAGTCTCTGTGTGTGTAGATGAACATGATCCCATTAACCACCCCTCATGTGAGAACTATGAATAAATTTCATCGATCAATCTAAGATGATCAAAGGTTGAAAATAAAAGACAAATCGCGGTGATATTTTTGTAATTATAATTGTGTATCTTATATTCCCTGATTGTGCATTCGCGGATAACTGGTTGTGCATCTCGAAACATTTTCTAAACACACTATCAAGTATTTTCCTAAAAAAAAAAAACGGTGGTGTCATTCTATAATTAATTTTGTAATTATGATTCTACATCTTGTAATGCTTGATTGTGCATTTACAAATTTTTCTCAAATTTCATTCTTAATTATTTTTCAAATGCACAACTATAATGACAAATATGGCACCACATAAAAAAAAAAAAAAAAAAAAAAAAATTAATCATTGATCATCTTAGATAGACGGATAAGATTAGTTCTCACATTCTCAAGGGAAGTAGTTTTCACACACACACACACACACACACACACACACACACACACACACACACACACACACACACACACACACACACACACACACACATATATATATATATATATCAATTTCGTAAATTCTTGCACCATGTATTTCAGTGGTGCATTTTTAAGTACTCTATGGTGCAGTTTTGAGTGATTAATGTTGCATTGATTTGTATTACACCACTTTAACGGGGTGTCAAACTCGTAGACGGGTGCAATAAACCCATTATCGGGGTGCATTATGTGCTAGTGTGCGGTACATATTTGAGTGCTCTGTGGTGCACTTTTGAATGATTAATGGTGCATTGATTTGTATTACACCACTCAACGGGGGTGTCAAACCCGTCGACGGGTTTAATAAACTCGTCAACGAGGTGTATTACGTGCTAGTGTGTGGTGATTTTTTAGTGTGTTAGGAACTGTGTAATTAGATTTTGATGATACCAAACTACTTAGGGATTTAGACCCATCCCCCTCCCCCATCTTTTTAATCTCGTTGTTTAGAGTCTTTCGGGTAGAACGAATCATCCAGTAGGACGTGTTTGCTCATGACATGTTTCGTAGAGTACCTACACGAAACAAGGCATCTTCAGTTAGTCATCATCAAGATCAAGTGAAGAGAAGACCGAAAGTAGGTCAGGCCGAGAGATTCATGCAGACCGAAACCTGGAAGGGTCTATCTCTTGTGTAATTTACAAATGACAAAGAAAGGTTATTTGAGATGTGAAGACAACGAATGTTAAGGACAATCATTCGTTACTAGAACCCGAGACTACGAGTCAATGTCTGACTCAATTGGACAAGCCTTACATGCTCTCGGAAGCATAAATGTCAAAGTCTCAATGCTAGGAAAATCATCCTAAACAAATGGTGTCCTAGAAATGAAGTTTTGAATCCCAATGAGCATTAAATGTTTGGTACTTTTGACAGTACTAAAAGACAAAAAGGTAGGTCACCTTTTTTATGTCAACGACTACGTAGTACATGCCGCATTAAAGACTCCGTACCCAGCAGATATTACACACTGGTTAATAGGTATTGAAATCTCATCTTCCTCCAACGGATGAATTTCTCTCACCTATAAATACCCCTCTTCACCACTTGAAGTATGTGTTGGTTATCACTCCATTGTTAACAAAAGCTTTCAAAATCTCTCAAAGCTACAAGTTATTTGCAACCAGTGTGTGTGTGTGAAGATTCTTTTAAAGATAATCTAACTCTCAAAATCTTCACATCTTCAAGAAATCTTGCACAAGTCAATATGAAGATCAAGCTTCATCAAGTCAAGATTTCAAGTTGGAGATACCATCAATCCTTTCCAATAACACTCAACTCTGTAGAAGTTGATAGAGGCGGAGTAAACTCGGAGGAGTTGAAAAACTTGAGCAAGTTGCTGTCTGGCTTAGTGATCAAGGAAGCAAGCTTGGCTTAGTTTGTACTAAGGAGTGATAGTGCAAACCCTTTTACGAGTTGTAAAAGAAGAGTGGAGTAGGCTTAGTTAATAGCCGAACCACTATAAAATCTCTCTCCACCCTTTTATTTATTATTGCTTTACTTTTGTGCATTGCATTCATATCAAACCTAAGCAATACCTTTCGAACTCAACAGGTGCAAAGAAAAATAACAAGAACACTTAATTTCCGCTGTGAATCAGTCTTTCGAGTTTAGTTACCAAAAATTGCTTAAGAGTCTATTCACCCCTCCCCCTCTCTAGACTCTTACCTTCGGTATCGGGATCAACTGGAGTGTTGTGTGGTGCATTTTCAAGTGATACATGGCGCATTGAGATTGTCCAGCGCCTTTGGATGAAAATGATCGGACGATGCGTATTAGGCAACATGACCGCATGATAGATGATGACCGCATATGAGCACATTTGTGTGTCTATATATATATATATATATATATATATATATATATATATATATATATATAATTAGTCAATTTAATCTTACATTGTTTGAAATGGAATAATTAAGTAAAATTGTTTGTCTACGTGGCTAGTAAGATGGCAGACCAACATAAGTCACTATAATAGTGTGTATGTGCGAGCGTGCATGCGTGTGTGTGTGTGTGTGTGTGTGTGTGTGTGTGTGTGTTTGTGTGTGTGATAGATACCCCAAATCGGACACCTAATCTAGAAAGTGCAAAAGGGAAGTTAGGCTCGAGCACGGCATAACATGGCAATTCAAGAGAAAGGACTTCTGTCATGTTTCCCGCCTTTCTCGCGAAGTACCCGGGAGAGCAGGCTAGCAGACGAACGCGTACCTGGGCAAGAGTTGGCTGGCTCAGGCAAAGCGACTAGGCTCGGTAGTCGGCGTGTCCCCGACTGGGTTCCTTCTATGGACCCGAGTGGGCGACTAGGCTCAGCGGTCGGTGCGTCCTTGTCTAGGTGGCACAGCTCCCTAGCCGGGCTTCCTCGTCAGGCAGTCAGTGCGTCCCCGACTAAGTGCGCGCCCTAAAATGTTTAGCGGCGGATTCCGTGGAGATTCCTTTCCTTATGTAACACCCCACTTTTTCTAAATCTTAATTACAATTCTAAACCACAATTAACATAAACAAAGCAGCGGATAATTGACTTAATAAGAAAACTAGTGGGAATGTCACCGCCACAACCACCACTCCGTGGTGATTGCACAGGCTAAGGGTAGAACTAGAAATAAAGATAAAATACTAACATCCATAAATTTAACCGAAAGTCATAAGGGGGAAAAAGACACCCCGAAGTCTACATCATCAACATCGTAAGTCTATAAATCCGACCAATAAGATCATAATAAAAGTAATAAGAGTTTAGACTTCTATAACTACTAGACTAGTCTAACTCGATCACTTTTCAACGCTGGGCCACCTGAAAGGGGTTTTTCAAACAACACATAGACAAATAGGAAAAACACTCGTTAGCACGAAGCTAAGTATAACCACCTCAAACATGTAAAGTACTATAGAATATACTTTTAGAAAAACATTTGTTCACTTACTAAGTCAAACAATCTCAACACATAAACAAATGTAGATACAACACAGACTTTCTATATGCTTGTAACCTATAATATCCACATGCATGCTTCAATACAAATGATTTAACTACATAAAGATTTCAACACATAAATATCACAACGATCTCATCATAACGAACTCATGATTACAAGCAATTTCATACTATTAAACAATACGAAAACTATCGTCATTCTTTCAAGTTCTCATCATGCAAACTGGATATACAAAACCTCAATATGTAGCTAAAGCAATCATGCTCGATATACAATCTTGATTCAACATTCTTATTATGCAATCTCATGCAATACTCTACTCAAATGCAATCCCGTGCAATACTATACTCAAATGCAATCTCGGACAATACTATAAATGTCCTCAAATGCAATCTCGTGGAATACTATAAATATATTCATACACTCGTTGTAAAATAGAATACTTTCTGTGGAGGTCTCATTGAGTCATAAATGACTTGCTATGGCCATTAATTACAAGCATCAAACAATATTATCACAATTGCAACACAAGTATTAAACCCAAATAATAATATATTAAAGAAACTGAGAGCTCAGGTACATAGGTTCATAAACACTTTTACCCAAGAATCTCTAAAGAATTTAGCCAATCATGGCTAAATTATACATAACAAATATAATAAATAAAGAATTACAAATCATCAAAAGAGTACAAGAATTAACTAGACGATTTTTCCAAATCTCCCTAGTCTTCTTCTTGCTTTCCGAGACAACTTGTGACTCTTAATTTCTCTCCTTCTTGTCTCCAAGAATCTCTGAATTCTAAATTATGAATTGTAAATTATCTATTCTAATTATTTATTCTAAATTACCATTGATTCTTCCATTAGGGTTGAGGAATGTGGAATTTTATAGTAAGTACAAAGTTTGGGCGGAATTGGAAGTTTTCTAAATTTATTAGGAAATTGCCGTCTCAATGATTTGGAATATATATCTCTTTGATTTAAATTTGCAAATCATCTTATCTCTTAATTTGAGAAAATAAAGCAGCCACTTTAGTTTTGAATCTTTGGAAATTGGCCACCTTTTGATTTTGGAATTCAGCAGCGCACTTTAGCTTCGGAGAATTTTCTTGCCGCCTAATTTGATTTGTTGCAAATCAGCCTCCTTTTCGTATATAGCTGCGCGTCTTTCTCGACGCGATGGCTCGACGCGCTCGACCAGAAAACTTTCTGAAAATTTCGATGCGTCGAATGTACTATTGGTGTCTTTCGGTCCATTTTTAACTCCAATTTTGTCTTAAGACTTTCCTTGCTTCCAATGGTTCAAAAACACTAACAAACACTATAACATATTAAAAACAAGTGTGAATCATAACTAAATGATAAAATAAGGGAAACGCGTATTAAATAGGCAAGATTAAAGAACTTAGTTACTAAGATGATAAAAAATAACTATAAAAACAAGCACAGATGTGATAACATCAAGTTATTTCTCATAAATTTTGATCTTTATGCATTAAAATATTTTTTCCATGGGCTTACAGTTTAAAAATGTTAAAGTATATATCATGTATATTATTATTCAAAATGTTGGGTCTCTTTTGGTTTGTACTCATTGTTGTTTGAATATTAAGTTTATACTTTGAAATCTCATGTTGAAAATTGCTTTAAGTTATGCAATTTATTTGGAATATATGAGTTTAATGTTTAATTTTATGCATATTTTTCCTAACATTAATATTTTGTTTTAAATTATGCAATTTTATTATGTCTTTAGTAATGCATACTTTGGGATGAAATTATATTAGTTCCTATTAAGTTGGACTTATACATAATCTTTAGTTGCGGTAGTGCCTGAATTTAAACACGTTTAGTCCATTAATTCAGTTCACCGTTTAAGTTTTAATCATAGGTGAACCATACAGTTTTCTGATGTATACCCTACAGTTTTAGGTTCATACCCCAAACAGTTATACTTTAAGTACATATTATCGGGGAGGCATACTAGTTTTATGGCAATGACTTAAGAACATCTTGTGCCGCTAGTCTCCTTCAATTGATACTCTACCTAAAAAATTGGTTTTCAGTGAAACCTTGTCTCTAACCACCTTTAATTTCCTAGGAGTATATTTAGATTTTCCCATCACAATTTAGTATAATCTGTTTGCCAGTTTTTTTTTTTTTTTAGTATTTCTTGCCATCGTGATTTGGTTTCCGTTCATTAAAGAATAGCCACATCATCTCCTTAATCAGTTAAAATTATATAGGTTAGGCAAGGAATTGATGATTGTCTAGTGATCTTATAATTTTAATTTGATTTGGGAGTAGCCACAACATCCTTAATCTGTTAAAATTATATATTAAGCTGTTTATTTTTATCACATAAAGTTTTGGACATATCATTTGTGATTAATTGTATGAAATATGATGAAATTTAGCCCACATGCAATTATGTATCAGAATGTAGTTTAGTAGTTTTATGAGTGATGATAGAACGAGATCAATTTATATGTAAATAGTGATTTCTAATTCTATCTTAAAGTTTAATTTTATGATGTAAACTTTATATCATATTTCTTAATTTGCCCATATGGATTAAGAAAAGACACATGATTTCTTAAGTTTTTTAACATAATGGTTGTAATGAATCTTATTGAGTAAAACTTTAGCCTACGGGCTAATTTTATGTCACTTGATTCTTCAACTCATTTGATAATTGTTTCATCATGAATTAAATTTTTCAGTTGGATCTAATTTAGTAAAACTTTAGCTCACATGCAAGTTTTAGGATAGTTATGTTGTGCATCTGTATGCACCATACATGAATGGTGCATACGGATGCAAAAATGACGTCGTTTTATTAAAATCGCGCGTCTCCCCTTTAAAAAAAAATTCAGGTTCGATTCCCAGCAACAGCATTATGTTGTTCATTCATTCTGGAATTTTAGTTCATAGATTATGGAATTTTAGTTCATTGATTCTGGAATTATAGTTCATTGATTCTGGAATTATAGTTCATCGATTCTGGAATTGTAGTTCATCGATTCTGAAATTTTAGTTCATAGATTCTGGAATTTTAGTTCATTCATTGTGAAATTTTTAGTTCATAGATTAGATTCTGGAATTTTAATTCATAGATTCTGGAATTATAGTTCATCAATTCTGGAATTTTAGTTCATATGTTGTTGTTGGGAATCGAACCTGAATTTTTTTTTTTTAAAGGGGAGACGCGCGTTTTTAATAATACGACGTCGTTTTTGCATCCGTATGCACCATGCATGGTGCATACAGATGCACAACATAATTTGCCCAAGTTTTATGTCACTAGATTTTTTTGGCTATTTAGTAATTTGTGGAAAATATTATCATAAGGGTTTCTTAATTGGATTTAATAGAATTAAAACTTTAGCCCACATGCGACTTTTATGTCAATAAATCTCTTAACCCATTAGATAATAATTTTATCACAATTCTTAGAATTTATAAATTTAACTCAATTATAATTCTAAGTTTCATGGTTTGCATTAGCAAAACATGTATTCAGTCACTTCCCAAAATTTAGCCACTTTTATTAATTGATCCATGAAGCTTGCTCGATTCTTCGAGCTAACTGTAGTAAGTTACGTAATTTGACATAGCTCTTTTGGATTCCATTAATAATAAAGTGTATCTTTTGAGCCAAATTCTAACTTGGTTTTGAAAGGTGTATTTTGTTTTTTTTTTTTTAGTATATCTAACTATGGTGGGGAATTATATCTTCATTATTTAGTTGGACTTTAATTGGAGCCAAAAATTGATTATTTAGTATGCCCAACTAATGGTGGGGAATTATATCTTCATTATTTACTTGGTCAAACCAATTATGAGTATGTATATTCATTTTATTAAATTCGTTGAAAAATATTTCAGTTAGTGGGAGTGATCATTTAGAAATAGATCATTAAGATGCTCCATTAAAGATTATGGATTTAATTATTGGCTTCATATATCCTAAATTGGATTGTATGTCAAACAATAAGTCCAAAATATTCCACAAGTATTAATCTTGTATTTGTTCATATAAATTCATAAGTTCAAATTATTGAACATTTGATTGTGCAACATATTTATGAAAATGTTGTAACAATATTAAGAAATTTATTAGAACAAAAACATTTAACTTGTGGTGCACTGTCATTTAATAAATTCTTAGTGATTAATAGAGTCTTTAATTAGTTTCTTCAAAATTGATCCTGTGCCATTTTGGTTTGTAAGGTTCAAGACAATTTTATGAGACATATAAGTAAGACGTACTCATGTTTAGTTCATTTATTGTGAACATTGGAGTTATTTGGGAAAGTATGGTGTATGATTAAGATTCTAAATTTATGGACTTGGACTTTTGGTTTGTTGTCTAAGTTATTGGAATGCTTTTGTGACTTGACTATCTTTTGGTTATTTTGATGAGTGGGAGTAACAGACGTGTTAACTCCAAGCTCTTAGCCGTTAGAGGTAGTACTTATATTAACTTATTAAGAAGTCATAGAATATAGTTAGCATTATGCTGGCATTAAGAGATCTCTACTAAATGCATGCTTCTAAGGTTTTAGAGATCGTACAATGTACTCTTTTGTACAATTTGAATGTATTTCTCTTTTCAGTTGTGCACATAATATATTTTGAGAAACATCTCTTAAGGTACTGAGAATAAACATTGGGTTTGTTCATAAAGGACCTAAGTTGGAGAATTAAAATGCATGTGACCATAATGGATACTACTCTGATTAAATAGATGACATGTCACTATGATTTTTGTGTTTTGTTCTTTGATGAGAGTTGTGTTAGTACTTGCACCAAATGGAAGAATGTAAGATTTTCCGAATAGTATATATTTTATATTATATATTAGGACTTTAATTAAGTGGTGCAAGTTGATTAAATTTATTAAGTGGTCTTGTTGGACTGAATAACTAGAAGTTGTTATTCAACCAGACTCTGTGCCTAATATAAACCTAGATTGGGCTTCAGGATATTCATTATATAGCACATAAAGATACACTACTCATACTATATATACTCCTCAGTAGACACCAATACGTCGTCTAGGGTTCTGAGTTAAGTATGAGACAAATATGGTTAACGGTCTACCGTTCAAGAGACAACACAACAAGAGACAACTCAACTAGAACATCTAGGGTTCTGAATTAAGTATGAGACAAATATGGTTAACGGTCTACTGTTCAAGAGACAACACAACAAGAGGCAACTAACTCAACCAGAACATCAATTATGGCTGAAGATCAATACGACTATCGCTTTCGCTTATACGAGGTCAAATTTCTCGATCAACACACTATCGCTTCCACTTATACGAGTTCAAATTTCTCTTATATTATTATTCAGTATAGTTAGATTATTTCATATCAAAGTTCAACGATAAGGTACAAGTGCCTTATCCCACCAAATGCAAATTTTTACTGATTGCTTGAGTTAGGTGGAAACCAGCTAAGCTTCCGACATTATATCACAAATTGCTGAATTATTAAATTAAAACTTATTGATGGGTCATCCGTCACGTCCATTCGAGGAAGGAGAGAACGATTTAACTTCTGCCACTTAGCGTTTAACTATGACAAAATTTCAACTCGTAGGCTATATATATATAAGTTGAGCGCAAGACAAGTGCACTATACCACCACCACAATTCATCAAACCACATAGTTATCAATCGAGATATGGCTTTTCTTGCTGTAAAATCTCTTATGAGAACGTTAGAGCTTCAGTTCCTACAACCCCAACCACGTGTTACTCTTTCAAACAAAGAGCAGATCAAGTATCTTCATGAAAAACTTGACCATTTGCTAGTTTATCTTGAGGAATCTGAGAAGAAAGCCACCAATCCGGAGGAGATGAAAGAAGTCACCAAAAAAATTAAAAGAGTGAGTGTCAAGGCAGAAGATGACATTGAAGCAGAGCTGTTGAAGGCTCATCATTATCACAAACTGGAGAAAAGCTTGCAACGAGTAGTGCATGACGTTGAAGAGCTGATGCATATTACAAGGAACACCAACCACTTTGTCAACAATAATCCCACGGTTGGAGGTTCCTACCAACATACCTCAGATGTGGAGGTTGCAATGGTAGGACACTCAGATGAACTGGACGAGGTAAAGTCTGAGCTCCTTCGCCACTCACTCAAACAACGCCAAGTAATGGCAATGGTGGGTATGGGTGGTATCGGCAAGACAACTTTTGCTAAGAGAATTTATGACGATCCTATTGTCACATCTCATTTTGAGTTACGTGCTTGGACAACCATGTCCCAAGTGCATAACAAAGCACAAGCCCTCTATGAGCTTTGCCGTTGCATCATGCCAAAGAGCAGTACCTTCAACAACAAAATGGAGGGTGATCTGGAAGTCCAACTGCGCCAAAGTTTATTGGGCCAGAGGTACCTTATTGTTGTGGATGACATATGGACTACTGAAGCATGGGATGATATCCAAAGATGCTTTCCAGATGATAAAAATGGGAGCCGAATTTTGTTGACCACTCGACATACAGAGATAGCTCAGTATGCCAACAACTCTGGTGAGTATTGTTATAACATGCGTTTCTTAAATCCAGAGGAAGGTTGGGATTTATTTGAGCAGAAGTTTTTGGCTAAAGAATTTCTGAACAATGAATTTGAAGTAATAGGGAGGAACATTGTTCAGAAATGTGAGGGTTTACCACTTACAATTGTGGTGTTAGCAGGGCTTCTCTCTACCCTCAAGTCAGTAGATGAATGGGAAAACATTGAAAGAACAATAAATTCATTTCTGACTTTAAATCTTCCTGAACAATTTTCAAGAATACTCAATTTGAGTTACAACTGTTTGCCTAGCGATTTGAAGGGTTGCTTTTTGTATTTGGGACTTTTTCATGAAGATTGTGAGATTCCAATTAAAAAGCTTATTAGGTTATGGATTGCAGAGGGATTTGTAGGGGGCATGAGTCATAGCAAGAGGCTAGAAGAAATAGGTAAAGATTATTTGCAAGATCTTATTGATAGAAGTCTAATTATGGTTCATAGGAGAAGCTTTGATGGAAAAATCAAGACTTGTAAGATGCATGATCTGTTACATGAGTTGTGCACAAGCAAGGCTAAAGTTGAGAACCTTTTGTACCTTGAAACTATGGGTAGTAGTGATCGTTTTGGTCGCTTTATTCGATTGGGTGATAGCCGTTGGTTAAGCCTTAAAGTAGCAAATCCAGCTTTTCATTTGGTCATTGCTTCCAGGAAATGTCGTACCATTTTATGTTTTAATATGGCTTCTAACTGTGATCGTGAATGGTATTTGCGAGCCAACTCTTTTAAGAAGTTAAGAGTGTTAGACTTGAGCAAGATTAACTTTGCATTAGGTATGCCTCCAGATATTACAGATCTTGTTTTCCTAAGATACCTAGCATTAGCCTCAAGTGAGCTTCTAAACCATATACCTTTGTGGAAGAATTGGAACCTACAGACACTAATTATCAGTGAAGATGACAATGGTTCCCGCAAGTTGCCTCATGGAATCTGGGACTTGCCACATCTAAGGCATCTGGAAACCTATCACCAGGTTTCTATAGATCTTCCAAAAGTTGTTCAAGAGAATATGCAGACACTTTATTGGCTGCCTACCTCAGAGTGCACAATGGAAGTGTTTCTGAGAATCCCCAATGTTAAAGAGTTGGGAATAATTGCAAAATGCGAAGCTGCCTCACAGGGTTTAGATAACTTATGTTATTTAGAGAATCTTGAGAAGCTAAAAGTTATGGGCTCTTACACTCGTCCTTTACACCTCCCTCCACAGGCCAATAATTTCCCACAAAACCTTCAGAAGTTGACATTTGTGAGAACTCGTATACCATGGGAAGCCATGAGTATTATTAGTAAGCTGCCCCATCTGGAGGTGCTTAAACTCAAAAACTTTGCGTGTGTGGGAGAAGAGTGGGAACTAATTGGAGAAGGTGACTTCCCAAAGTTAAAAGTTTTGCTCATTTCTCTTACAAATTTGAAGGAATGGAAGGCAAATGTTGACTCTCCTTTCCCAAAACTCCAACGCTTACTCTTAAGAAATTGCTTTGAGTTGAAAGAGATGCCAGAGTGGATTGAAGGTATCTGCAACACACTCCAGTTAATTAAGTTGGAGTATTGCTACGCTTCCCTTGTGGCTTCTGCTAAGAGGATTAAAGAAGAGCAACTTGACAACTACGGATATGATATAGAAGTTGAAGACTCCAATACTCGACCAGGTTTGTGTATCAACTAATTAAACTTCAATTAGTACATGTTCTATCTTACGATCAATAATTGATTTTTATGATTAAATACTAGACGAGGACCATGCTATAGAAGAAGAGGATTCTAATGAAGTTGAATGTGTCCACCATGGTTTAACTGTAAGTTGCCTCTTCCTCCTTGTGTACCCCTTGAATCAATGGATATAATAGTTGTTAGCAGCATTAATGCCGCTTTAAATATGCTGACTTTTTCACCAACTGTACTTGATTATGATTTATTTGAAATATTATTACACTATTTCACCAAACTTCTTAGCAAATTTTTTTTTTAAACTTAGCATTTTAAATATCTTCGAATAAATAATGTAACTTTTTGTTTTATAACTTTTGAAACTAATAAAAGTGGAAAAGCAAAATTCGTCATTAGATTTGGATCACATGTAAACAACATTAACCTTAGCTTTTTTGTTTTGTGCAGAGCCTTTGGTTTGAAGCAAGGAGGCTAAGGATCGAATGGGGTGATGATACTAGGTATTGGATTTGGACAAGGGACTCTGAATTTGGGTATGTAAATTTTAATTCTCTAGAATATTAAGAATTGCGGGCTGGCAATCCTGGCATTGTCCCGGCAATTTATATAGACTAGAACCTAACAAAAAGTACATTATTAATATATTAAAAGTACATTATTTGTGTATTTAATGTACATTATATAAAATAATATAGTTTTAGTACTCAAATAATGTACTTTTCTTGAATACAATTTACATTTTTAATATATTAAAAATACATTATATGTATACTGAATATACATTGCTGTGAATCATTGCATTGTTCCTCACTCGATCTATCTAACTATGATTAATTATATTTTGTACAGATGTGAGGTTGCTAAGCTTGAGAAAGTTAGCTGGTTCGAAATCAGATTAACCTTTGACGTTGGGTGCTTATCTAAGATGACATGTTATTCTGCCTACGTTGTTTTCAAGCTTGAAAGCGGGCGCTTTCTAGATGTCAACACAGGACTGGCAGGTGTGAGATATGAGAAGGACAAGGCCATATACGGTTGGATGCGTGGAGAGAATCGACACTCTCAGGTGTTTCTGGCAAAGACGAAATCTTATGGGGACTATGGTCAGTTTCCTAACAGCCGCTCTGATGGTTGGACGGAGATCAAGCTCGGAAACTTTTACGTTAGTAGTGGGAAAGAAGGTGAAGTTGAATTGCAACTTTGGCATGTATCAGACCAGTTCTGGAAGTCTGGTTTTATAGTGAGGGGCATTGAAGTTCGACCAGTAAATGAAGGATAAGAAAGATAGCTGTTTAGTCTCACTATATCAGGCAATGTCTTTACTGGCCTGGCGTTGCATATATGTGTTGGTCTTATTATTTACTGCATTCCTATTTCAGTTTGTCCGACAATTATTATATTTCTAATAAGTACTATTCTGTGTGTTGTGATAGATATTTATGTTCATGCATGCTTTTGAGTATGTAGTGACAGAATTGCATGTTGTATTATGTTCTACTTCTCAGCTTGAGAATCTCATGTCTTGGAGTAAACAAGTGAATGTATTTAATGAAATGCTTATATTAATGTTGATGCATAATTTAGCAAATCTCACCAAGCCAATTTTTAAAATTATATATATATATATATATATATATATATATATATATATATATATATATATATATATATAGAGAGAGAGAGAGAGAGAGAAAATTTCAATTTTGGTCCACTGACTATTGGGGTTGTGTTAATTGCAACACTTGACTTTCAAAAATATTAATTTAGTACCTTGACTATGCAATTTCTATCAATTTTGGTCGCTCCGGCCAAATTGCTAGCCAAATCTTACCGAAAAATTTTAATAGGTCAAATAATGAGGGTTTTTTGATCATTTTACTTTTTTCCTTTCTTCCCCGGCGAGCCAACTCCATTTCTGGCGAGGGTTAGCGCATATAGCGCAACTCGCATGCCCATACATGAGGGTTAGTGCATATAGCGCTAACACGGCCTTGCAGCACCCTGCCTCATACCGCAGCATGAAGGGGTTGACCGCAGCCAACCGATGAGCCGTAGTTCATTAAACCATTGACGAGCTCAATGGCAGACCACAACCCTACACACCGTTGACGAGCTCAATCGATGGGTTGCGGCCCTTTTTGTGGACTGCAGCCCTACACACCGCTGACGAGCTCAATCGGTGGACTGCAGCCTCTGTAGAACCGTTGACGAGCTCAACGTCGGACCACAGCCCTACACACTGTTGACGAGCTCAATCGGTAGACTGTGACCCCCTTTTGGTGGACTGCAACCCTACACACCGTTGACGAGCTCAATTGGTGGATTGCAGCCCATGTAAAGCCAATTTGACCGAAGCCAATATTGGGGAGTCATGCACATATAACACGTAGCAAGCACATGCAATTCATATTAACACATTGGGAGAGGGGAGAAAATGTGTAATGAAACTTATGCGTGGTCATCCACATACTAGGAATAGTCCTAAGGGGTTCATACTTCTTTCACCTAGGCCGAGATGGTACCAATTCAACTAGCATGCAATACATAAGACTCTTTTATCCTACGAACGGTACCCGAAATATCAAACTAAACTTAGGCACGATAAACGGAGTCCGTTGGGATACCACGAGGGTCGGGGAAACATCAAACGGGGAAGCCAATACCCCGAAGTGGGGAAAAATCCAGCGGGTGGAGGACCACCCGCCGGCGGCAAGTCTCCGGGCAGCGGGTGCCCGGCGGGCAGTCGTCTGCCTGCCGGCTGCCCGCTACCGGCGACACCAATTTGGGCAGCGGGTAGGTGGCGGGTCCCCCTACCCTCACTTATCCCCCACTGACTCTTTTTCAATATATTGGTCCCGGGATCCTTCGTGGAACCCGAAATCATGTTTAGACACTTTTAAATATAAACGACGACACCACGTTGTCAAATAAGGGATCAAAACCAAGAATCATATTGAACATACCCTAACATGACTTTTAAACATAATTAACACCTGAACATGCGAAATCCCACCCAAATATATATCAAGAACATCACAATACAAAATTCCCAATTTAACCGAGGGCTTTAATCCCATTCAAATCATCAAGATCATAGTTTATCTTTAATATCAAGGAACATCAAGATTTATCAAGAACATCACACAATCATCAAGATCCTCTTATAATCATCAAGATCCTCTTATAATCATCAAGATCATCAAGATAGCACATAAAATCATCTCATCAATCATCAAGATCATATCATAATTATCATAAAAGTTTTATCAAGACACAAGCATATAGAAGGAGCCAAAGAAGAAGATTATAGCAAGAAAAATAGGTTTTGTTGAGACATGAGTTACCTCATAGCCTTAATTAGATTCCTTGGCTATTAAGGCTCTTTTCTCTAAGATTTCCTCTTCTCGATTTCTCCTACGGGGAATTCTTGAGAATTCTTGTGCGGTGATATCTATTGTGGTGTGACTTCTAGGTGCCTCATATGTACCTATTTATATATCTAACAGTCCTAATTAGGGTCTGAATGGTATGGGTTTGCTAGTTCTATTTCTTATAGGACTAAGGGGTTGGTTTCAGGGATAAGGGTCCATGGTCTATGGTGGACCCTTCTTAGTTAATTAATGGATTTTAATTCTCTTTTTAGGGTAAGTAATTAAATAATTAGTTTGGGTTAGAGGCTGTAACACGGGGTGTTACATGCTATGCCACATCTGAGCTGGAGAACTCAGATGCACAGGCTAAACTAACTAACAAAGCATAAGCCATGACTAATACCCAAATACAAATCAAGGCACGCAGGCCATCTCATCGAGTCTAGAACTATCTAACTAAGTCCACGAGTCCACTAGCGTGCTCCGAAGCTACTCATGGTTCATGAAAAACATTCGGTATAACAACCGTCAGCGAATAATGTTGGTAACCCACTCCAACGCGTTAAGTACAATATAGGGTAGATATAAGAAACTCATTTTGAAACTGGAATACATATATACTTACGAAGCTCTAATTTAAATCCGAGAACAGACTCAATCAAGCAATAACAGATACATTCAATACAATTAAACATAAAGATTCACTTTCAAAAAAAAAAAACATAAAGATTCTAGCATGCATCCTAAGGTCACGAGACTACGCAATACAAACCATATCAATACTCAGTTATCATCACAGTCAAACAATCAACAATGAGACACGTATTAGTATACACACATATGGTGGTATCGCAGGACCATTCGCATGACCCGAACCTTGAGTTCCATTGCCAAGGGGTCAGTGCATATATCTCTGACATGGCCCTACAACACTTTAACTTGTACCGCAGCACAAGGAAGAACCAAACGACAGATCGGAACCAATCAATGAACCGCAGCTCATTTGTATCATAAATGTTTGATCGCAACCAAACTATGGACCGCGACCTTATTATCATATATGTCTGATCGCAACCAGACTATGGACCGCAGCCCTATTATATACATACATATATATATATATATATATATATATATATATATATATATATATAGCCGACCGATCGCAACCGGTCAAGTTAATACATGGTTGTTCTCAACCAACTAGATAGTTATTATAGCCAATTGATTGCAACCAATTGGGTCATAATGCACGACAACATAGAAGCCAATCAACAATCAACATGCAACCCACATTAACACATAACGAGGGGAAATCATCGGGGATCACGTAACCCAACATAACTCATTCATAAAAAAACCACATTAACCCACCCACGACATTCTTACGGGATCATACAACTTCCTCCTAGGCCAACGGGATACCAATTCAACTAACATGCAATACACAAGACTCTTTTATCCTAAGAACAGTACCCGATACATCAAACTAGACTCACAAACACCAATGAGGTACAATGGGGCACAACGGGACACGGGAAAACAACAAATGGGGAAAACATCCCATTACCAACCAATTTCCCAGCGGGTGGGGGACCACCTGCCGATGGCAGCTACAGTTCCAGCGGGTGCCCGACGGGCAGTCGCCTGCCCACCGGCTGCCCGCTGGAAACCAGACAAGGGGCAGCGGGTAGGTGGTGGGCACCCCTGCCCCCACCTACCCCCCACTGACTCATATGTAATATTTTGGTCCTGGGATCTTTCGTGGAACCCGAAACCATTTCTGGACACATTCAAACATAAACGACAACACCACGTATTCAAGTAACGGAATTAAACTAAGAATCACACCAAATACACTCTAACACGATTCCTAAACGTGCCAAGACTCAACACCCAATCATGCAAAATCTCACCCAAACATACCAAGAATAACATAATACGAAATTCACGTTATAACCCTAGGGCTCTAGACATAATCAAAATACAAGATCATTCATATAATTTATCATAGTATCAAGAACATCAAGATTATCACATAAGCATCAAGATTAACACATAAACATCAAGATTATCACATAAACACAATATAAACCCTAGGCAAAGCTCTATCAAGACTCAAGCACAGAATCATATATCAAAGGAGCCAATGAATAAGATATAGCGAGGAAAATAGGTTTTGTTGAGACATGGGTTACCTCTTAGCCTTAATCAGTATCCTTGGCTACTAAGGTTCTCTCTATAAGATTCTTCTCCCGATTGTCCTTCCTATGCTAGTTGGTGGGGAATTCCTTGGTTGGGGTTCTTGTGGGTGATTTCGTGTGAGGGAAAGGGAGAAGAAGGGTTCTACTTGCTTCTTAATCTCCTATTTATATGTCTAAGAGAAACATATTCAAGGCCTGAGTAATAAGCCCCCCCCCCCCCCCCCTTCTCCCATTCCATATGGGTTTAAGGTTCCTTGTTCAGGTAAGGGTCCACGATCCATTGTGGGCTGCCTAAGTTAATTAAGGGGATTATAATTGGATTGACCTCCCCCCTTTTTTTAAATTGTATTAATTAACGAGATTAATTTAATAATTAATTGAGATTTGAAGGTTGTAACACGGGGTGTTACATGTTTGATCTGTGGTTGTCTCGGGGGGAACATTTACCATTCCATCTTCATCAATAGTTCCATGGCTATGTATGTCACTGGAATCTTCATTATCATATCCAGCATTCATCTCATTAGGCATAGGGCCTAAATCATCACTGCCAGCTGCTAATTCATTGAGATCCTCACTGTTCACATTTCTGTCATAACAACTCTGACCTCTGTGACTGTTGGTCGCATCATCTATTGTGTATCTTAAATTGACAAGCATGTCAATATGATCCAAGGGTGAAAACAATTGACACCATATGTTAGTTCAGAGGCTTTACTTAAGTTGGTGTTTTGCATATACACTTTTGCAAGTCCATTATAATGTAAGTCTGATGAGTTTATTTATTTATTTTCACATTTTTCTATGTTCCAGGATACCATGATAGTTTGCCACTTTCCCGTTTAACAAAGGTTGAAGATTACCATGATAGTTTGCCACTTTCCTA